ATCGCGCTACACTAAAACTAAGTAGCATTTTAATCAGAGTGAGCGCATGTAAATTTTCATAAGTGCAATATTTTACGCGTTTGTAGGAGCCGCAAGCCACCGCAGAGTTGATGCCTGCATAGCTTTACACGACGAATAAATTATAAAGATTAAAGGGCCGCTAGACCGATATTAAAAAAACTCGGTCGAAAAATTGTATAATATTTGAAGCAAAAACGAGGCGGTGCGCGGCAAAGATTTTCAATGAGGACGCTCGATAAATTGGTGATATTTTTACGTGCTTTTCAATACGCTGACATACCTGAACAGGCCATACCAGTCGTACTTTACGCGAGGAAAAAGAAAACTATAGCGGACCAACGGAGAGTAAACTAAATCGTTTGATCTTGAGCTTAAGCTTTTCTTTTACCTCCGACGTAAGCTGGCTCGAGTGCAGTTCGATGTTTTCCGATACAAACAAAATAAAGGAGGGAAACCAAGTTTGTTGGAGTAGTTAATAAATCCGAATGGTCGATATCCCTTTATTCAATAATTGTCAATTTTCTTCATAAACTATTACGCTAAATTTAGCTAAATTTGGTTATAATTTGAGCTCATTAGGGATTGTATTTTTAATGATGACGAAGTTGCAAAAGAGAGAGATAAAACGTAGATAGCGTGAAAATTAATTAATGCTTACAGTAGTTGCCAGTAGCGTAAAAGTGTACTAGCCGAATAAGTGAAGACAGAAATAAATAAATGTAGAGAGGTAAGCAAAGCTCGCAGGAAGTTGACGGGTGTCGAGAGATAAAAAAGGGCCGAGTCGCCTTACAACAGCTGGGCCATACTCTCTCACATCTCAGGGCTTAGTTAATCGCGTGGCCGTGAGAGCGGGGCCACTAGAAGCCCGCGCCACACGCTCAGACGCAGCGCAGCGAAGTAGTCGGCAGCAGGGCAACTCGAGTCGAGTGCTCCGCTTTGGCGCTGGCTGTCGGGGAGCTCTCGGCCCGCCACGGCGAACGCCCGCCGCGCCGAAAGCTCCACATTTTTCAACTCGGCTGTGAAATTTCTAGCCTCGTTTTCAGCGGGCGCTGCTTAATGGGCAAACTGCCGCATTCGCGATCAACTCGGTGCGCGGCTTCACTCGAGTGCAGCTCTGGCAAACGTTGTTTCGAGCGGCGCGAGCCATGAAAATGTCGAATAGCTCGGTTCCTCGCCGATAAAAAGTTATCCAATATCATTGCACGCAAACTTTCCGAGGCCTGGGTAAACAGCCGCGCGCGCTCGCCAGCTCTGCGACTGCGCTGATTTAATTAGAAAAGTTGGCTTGCATTGTGGCGAGCCTGGGCATCCCGGCGCGCTCCGATGATCAGTCCGTAGCTTCGCTCGTGCAACTTGTAATTGGGCTCCAAAAGCACAGGATCATCGAGCGTCCCTTCGCTGCGTCGTGGCCGCGCAACGCGAGGCCGTAAAGCGCTTTGGTACAGGCGCGCATCGCGCGTATTCGCTCGCTTTTCTTCTGCCGAGGCTCCGGCGGGCAGTGCAGCTGCGGATTACGCGGATAAGCCATCGATCATCGCTACCGGCGACACGGCGACACGGCGACACGGCGCGGCCCCAACCTGTCTTGCGATCCGGCGATCGCTCGATTCCGGAGCACTCCCCGATTGCAGACACGAGCTTGCGGCCATTGTGATGGCCAGCCGCTGGACGGTCGCTGCGAAGCCGCCCGTGCGCGAGCTCATCGACTGGGGAGAGCTGCGGAGAGCCGCGCGCCAAGCAAAGAAATTATTTTCTTAATTGCTGGAAACGCTCGGCTCCGTTAATTACGCCTTTTCTCTGGCCGCGTCGGTCGTTAGCGGCTCAGCCGAGCTTTCATTCGCCGAGCGATCCTTCCGAGCTCCGCGCAACCTGCGCTTCCGCTAATCGTCGCTTTTAGCATCGAGCCTTTTTATTATTTCCCGCCCCCTCCAAGCAAGGCCGTACAAGTGATAAGTGGCTGTTCCTTGCTCGGCGCAATTCCACGCCGGCGTCCTTGCCCCTCTACTTCTATTCTGCGATTCGGCATCGTTACTTACTTTTGCCAGGTCTCGCGAGCAGCCGGCCACGACAGTAATGTTATTGATTATTCGTGGACGTTTGCTCGGTCTTGGAGCTTCCAGAGAGCTTTATACGCACGCCGATGTATATCGATTTCCAATTCAATTTGCGTTAGTTCATCGCGCCGAACACAATAGAGATTGAGTGCCACGCGCGACGCCATAAAAACTCGCTACCCAGATTTCGGCAAAAAATGAAGCGACGCGTCAAACGAAATAAGCCGAATTATGGGGTATTGCTCGAGCGACGCCGCGATACGCAGCGGAGCGGTAGCCAAGTTTGCGATCGCTGCTGGTTTTAGTCGTTTCGCGAACTTGTTTCACATTCGAATTAATCGCCAAAGCAGCACGCGCGCGTGTCTATGGGTGTGTGCGTGACAGACGGAGGCGAGGCAATGAAACGAGACGGGCGATTAGATGGAACAAGAGGATAACAGACGCTTAATGGTGTGTATAAAGTAAGAGTACTCGGCAAACGCTCAGAACCATGTTTGCGTTGAGAGACCAATGGCGACCAGTAGCCAGTGCCGTGTTATTACGCGCCAGCCTCGACTGCGAACTACTATATTTACTTAGCTCGGCGAGAAGCTCTGCGCATATTCATGCCAGCTCTGTCTGTCCAAACTATCCGCGTGAGCTGCACTTGCAAGGCGCCCGCTGCCGCATGGACCATTCAACTTTTCGACCTACGCACTGCTTACCAGGATGTTCATCGGTCGCACGGCGAATCGTACGACCGCGCCGCTGAGATCGTTTCTTTTCTTGGCTTCGCCTGCCGAAACTGGCGGCAAAGCTACCGCAGCGCAGCTCACTCCACTTGCTCATTAGAGCTCCTCGCAAACACACACAGAGCCGCCGATTGCGCCAATTTCGAAAGCTTCTCCAACGTTTTTCCGTTCACTCGTCCGCAGTCCCCCTTTGCCTCGACACGCTGCCCAAATATTTGCTCGGATGCAAACGGCTCCAGCAGTTTCCTTTTCGCTTCCAGCTCCAACGAGCAGACTGCCGCGCTCTCCTTCTTTCCAATCGAACGGCTTTCACTTGTCTTCCGCCGTGTGTTCGGCGCAGAAACTAAGTTCTTTTCAGCTGATTCCAAACTTTCACTCGGGCATACGAATAAGCGCACCGAAAAGACGAAGATTATGCCACAGACGCAGTGAATTAAGCACCAAGCTAAACCAATATTTATCGCTGTTCCGGCGAGAAAACGAGAGCATAACGCTTATAGGAGACAAATTCATAGTGAGAATAGCTAAACGGCAAAGCTGCGTGTCGCGAGTGTTGGAAATTCGCACGTAGTGACAAATGAAAGCGCGCATCAGAGCGTAAAGCGGCATAAAATGCAGCCAAGAAGCATGATTATCGAGCGTCGTGGAGAATGAATCGCAATGCGTAAAGAAGCGCACATCGATTTCTCGCTCAACCATTTGCAATACGTTGGTCGCGCATTTATAAAGTTTCTCGCGAAATATACAACATAGTAGTTATATCTGTTAGGGAATCAGTAAAATAAGATTGATTCGCCGGCGAAAAGCAAGGAGGGGAAGCCGCGTGAATAAGTATATGTAAAGTGAAATGCATTGCAGTTGTTCGATCAGAGTCGAGTTATATCAAGACGGTTTCGAGCAGAAGCCGTTGCTGCGGGTCGATTGTGAAATGATTTTTTCTAGAGCAACAAACTTGAGGACTAAGTAAATATTTCGCCGACGTCCGTCTGACTTTGTGACTTGGAACAAGATGCCAAGTTATTGGAAATGTACACGAAGGATACCAAAGAATATGATCAGGATAGCAGTGGCGACTCGCCGGTCCGGTTCTCGCACGTTGCACGTGCACGTGCCTAGCGTCCCCTTATCATTCCGTGTTCCTCCCCATTCGGTGGCGCGCAGCTACGGTCATACGTCATATATATCCTTATCCCACGTGATTGTCGAAGAGCGCGCCAAACACCTTCAAGGTTGAGCCAAAGTCGACGATTCTCGCCAATTCAGTGTTCTGGCTGGCGCGAATCGGCAATCAGCATTATTAGAGCTTTAAACTTGAGAGAACTTTGACCGGTGGATGCGCGCATTAGCGCCGAGGCTCGACGACGTTGCGGTGCGTAGGCATCCGAAGCGGAAACGAACGCATGCACAATCGGACGCGGGACTTACAGTTGCATAATCAGTCGTGGCGGCGCGTGTTTTACATACCACAGCTTACGAGCCGTAGCGACAGCTGCGAATGGTCTGTGCACGCGCAAAAGCTATACTCATTGCGGATAGAGACTGGTTGAAATTTCATGACAAACAATGGAAAATGAATTGCTCGCGCGAGTTCGATTTCCATATTCGCGTCAAAATTATAACGCGGTATGGTGACAGCGTCGCGCGGCTTCCTCCCCAAATCCAGCAGATTTACATGCAAATTCGCCACGAGTTGCTTATACGCAGAGCTCTCAGCCCGCACTTCTATCTCTCTCTTCCCGCGAGTTGCAGTCTCAGCGGATAGCCGCGCAAGTTCGCTGCGCGAGCTCGTGCTCGGAATGCCGAATGGGCTCGTTAATTTTTTGGCCAATCAGCCCGGCTATAATTTGCGCATTAATATGCATCTGATTTGACGCGCTGCGCCGTCGTTTCCAGAACGCCAGCTCCGCAGATTCTGCGATTTACGCTGTTTTCGAATGCAAAACTCACTGCCGCCGCCGCCGCCGCCGCCAATTTTGCGCCAAATTGCAACGCTCTCGCGCGCAAATGTGCGCTCGTTCAAACTTTTCACGGAGCGCGAGGGAGAGCAACACGTGTCTCGGTCCTCTACGGAGTAGTTGCAGCGAGAGGCAGCAGTCGGCGACAGGGCGCCAATGGTTAGCCGGCCGGCCGAGAAGGCGAGCCAGCGGACGGCCGGCGCAGCCTCGCCTAGGGGTGCAGTCAAAGATTCACTTACGTGCAGGCAAGGCCGTGTGGCCGGCGACGCTGGGTTGCTAGCCGAGCTGGCTGTGCGCCGCGAGCGCGCGCGGGGCTGCGAGCACACCGCGATGGAGAGCTGCCTGGAGCGAAACTGAACGAGCCGACGCGAGCGGCTTTGCGCGCTGCTCGTGCCGCACGTGTGCGGAGGGTGCGCGAGTCGCCACGAGACTGAACGCCAGTCTGGCTGGCGGCAGGCAGCCAGTGCCGGCGAGCTTGGGCCTCGCGTGCGCGCCGCCGCCACCCCCCGGGCGGCGCGCGACCGAGGGGTTGCTGCCGCTGCCTCGTCGATGCCGTGGGGCGCCGATGAATGGCCATGTCCGTCCCCCGCCTCTCTGCCGCCTCGCGCTAAGCCACGCACCCATGCTCGCTTCTTCCTGCGTGCGTCGTGCACGCCGTCGCCGCTCGCTTCGACTGCTCGGCCGCGCTCTGTCACTCTGCCTCTTCCTGCCCGTCCTCGGCCCGTTTTCTTTGTCCTTTCGGCGCTTTACGTCCGAATCTCGCTCCTCCAGAGCTGCGTCGCCTTTTTGCATCTGTGCCGCGCACCGCAGCCATCACCGGCTGCATTATGCTTCGTGACCTCGGGGCATCTCGATGACGAATCTGATCAGCCGATCGTCCACTGCCCTGCGCAGTGCTGCATGCGAAAGCACTACAGCCTAGTAACTATCGATTCCAAGTACACAGCATGCACACGATTACCCGTTGCTGAACAATAACTGCGTGCAAGCTTTTACGTCATAATTAATCTCCAATTATTTTTCCGACTGCGGCCCTGTCGACGATCAATCGTCACAGGACGGCTTTGCGTCAACTGACCGTTCACAAGGTCTTCGTAGAAGAAGTGCCAATTGAACAAACATATTAATCAATTATAGAAAAAATGACGAGGATTCTGTGTGACGCTCTGAGTCTGCCTTCATTAACAAATTTTCTATAACACTATTTAGCAAGTTGGAAGAGGGTATTTTTCATAATTTTTTTCTTAACAATTATTGTGTAATTAAAGTTACTCTTTCAAACTATCGAATCATTGACAATTGAAGCAGTTGTCGGAAAGTGTGGTAGCTATTATTCAACAATAAAGCTAGCCTCTAAGTTTATTTGTGTTCAATTGCACTATGCAAATATTAAAAATGCTCGAATGAATAGATTCAATACCGATCTTCAAATATTTGCGTTCGTTTTCATCAGTATTAAATGGACTCCAGTTTTTTACAAATGCAACAATATTCGATGGAATAACAGCTGAAATGCAATATATTTTTAATGAATTGAGCTTTTCACAAAAACGCTTCAATAATTATGATGTAGGTGTGTAGTACGCTTTGATTTTTAATATTCTTGTGTATATGTATATATATATATATATACTACTTTTTATATTATGCTATTTGAAATTTCGCGCGTCTACTGATACTGCACTTGCGCGAGTCAATGTTTTTGATCCAGTATTTACATATAAACAGCGGGTGGTCGTGCCGTCGTGGCGTCGAGGTCGATCGCGGAACGACTAACGCAAGAGAACGAGCCATGAAGATGACTTTGCACTTTTATTGGGAAAGCGTAAAACGCATAGAACAACGCCAGCAGAACATTTGTGGCGTCGGGACTTGAAACTCACCAATTCGTTATTGCGGAATGGATGGGAAAAGGTCGATCAAAATGGTAAGTATTTTTACTTTTAACTCGCTTATTACATATCGTCAAATCTATTTATCGACGTTAAAATCGCGTATTAATAACGATAATCATTGTGATTTTTTACCAAGTAACAAATATATCATCACTTTCTTATTATAATTACCCTTGTTTTAGTGACTTTTTTCATCATTATTTTTCGGGAAACGTTTTATAAGTACATAACTTAAATTTTATATTTTCCAGGATCCTTTATCACCTGGACCATGCTTTGATATAAGCGATGATGAATTGGTTAGTATCTCTGTGAGAGATTTAAACAGACAGCTGAAACTCCGTGGTCTGACCAGAGAGGAAATCATTCGCATGAAACAGCGTAGGCGAACTCTAAAAAATCGAGGCTATGCTGCGAGTTGTCGAATAAAGAGAATCGAACAAAAAGATGAACTAGAATCTGAAAAAACTCAAGAAGTTCGAGATATGGAAGCAATGCAAGAGGATAATGACAGAATGAGAGAAGAATTACAATTATGGCATTCCAAGTATATGGCTATGAAAAAGTTTGCATCAGAAAATAAAATTGTAGTTCCTCCAGAGTTAGAAACATTGTAAGCATGAATCCAAACTTGAGTTTTAACTTTAAGATCGTTAGAATAATTTTTATCTATCACATGAATTTGGTATAAAATTCAATCTTATTTCATTACAAGTATTATTCTTTTTCATCGTAGTTTCTTACATCATAAAGCTAGATTTATAATTTTCCAATGTACAAATAAAGTATTTTATTTACTTAATTTAATTATATGTATACAATTTTATACATTATTCAAGATTTTTATCAAGATGCAATAAATATATTAATTGGCCAACAACGTGAACATTGATTGAATTGCCCAACAATCTATACTTTTGTTTATTTGTAATATCACTTGGAAATCCAAAGGTCTCTGGAAAAGACATCAATCTAGAAATTTCTTTGGGTGTAAAGTATCTTAACTTTAAATTATGCAACACTTTTAATTTGTTATCAGTTATATCTGTATTAATTTTCAATTCTTCGAGTATTTTCTTAACATCTGCATTTGTGTTAAGTGAAAGTACTGAGCCAGTTCCTTCCATATAATGGCTGTAAGCTTTTGTAAAGCAGCAAGATCCTTTTGATTCTGGAGTTCTTATGTCTAGAATACCGCAATGTTTTGTGAGTATTTTTTCGGGCAATAAATAATTAGGACTCACATTTTGTTCTAATATATATTGAATTTGAAATTGTTTGATTTCATTTTTAGAGTCTGATGTTTGTCTAATCAATGATTTGTACTTAGATGATGGAAGCAATTCACAAACTTTATCTGGGATTGAAGTAATCAAATTTGAATTATTAAAAATAAACTTGAGCCTGGATTTCTTAGCCATTAAATAGTATCTATGCCTTGAATTTGGAATGCCAAACTGACAAGGACTTAAAATAAACTCTTTATAATTGAAATCTGCTTTTTTCAAACAGTCTACAACTTCATCTCTTGCTCGAGATTTCTCAAATCCTTTGACATTCTCTAAGAGAATGTACTGTAAGTTTTGAATTTCAGGAATGAGTTTGAGAATATGTAGCAAAGCTAAACATCTTTTATCACAAGAATCTTTTCTCAATCCTACTCTTGTAAATGGTTGACATGGTGGACTCATTAGAATACAATTGATATTTAATTTTTCTATTTCTTCTTTCGTGAGAGATTCAATATTTCTACTAATATTTTTTGTTCCAGGAAAATTATATTGATATACTTTGTTTGCTATTGTATTTATATCTATGGACATAACAACTGTGCTATCAACAGTACTTTCTGAAAATAATATATTAAATAAGTAATCATGTTAGCGTGTAAATACAAATGTTATTTTGTTTTCAATCTGCAATAATTTCATTATGGTAATTACCTTGTAAACCATAGTGCATTCCTCCTATACCACTGAATAATTCCAGAACTCTCATTTTATTAAAGATTTCTAGCACTAAAAAAATTATTTAATGTATGTAAAATCAAAATCAAGCCTGACTCTTTATTTATAAATTTCAATTATATTTTGCACCGATTATTTCCAGTGTATAATCAAAATTTAGATGTGCAGACGACGCCACCGACATACAATACGAGTGTGTTTTGATTTTCAAATCTAACCTGAAACCTGACTGATTAAATGCAATATAACCTATCATAGACTTTTCATGTATTATATGTGCGTGCATCGCGCACGCGCGCGCGCGCGCGTGTGTGTGTGTGTGTGTATGTATATATGTATATTCAGTGCTAAGCGAAATTGTTCATCTCGATATACTCTCATGTATGGATATATTTTTCGTATAGATTTAAACGAGTGTACATCACAAAAGTCAGAAATAACTAGCACTGTCAAAGCTGTCGATGTATTTACAATTCATGAATTGTTGTCGATGTTTGGTATGACGTTTAGTTTTATCGTCGTATCTGTAATAATGAGTCCAGATTTGCTTTGCTCTAGAACAATGATTAGATAATCAAGATGACATGAATTTTATCTTTACTATTAGCGATAAATATATTTAACAGAAGAGGAAAAATAAATAGTTCAACCAATTAGAACATGTATTTTAGATTGAAAAATGAATTATAACCTATATTTTTAATATATTTGTATATACAGTATCTAATTTATTTTTGTTGTGTTTCAACATGTAAAAGTGTAATATTAAAAATGAGGAAGATTTTAGAATAAAATTTTATAAAATTACCAGTCAAAATGTTTCGCAGTCGTAGTTGGTTTGGAGGTGGGCTGTGGAAGCCAAAAAATCCTCACTCTTTAGAACATCTCAAGTAAGTTAATTAGTTCCTCATCATTTTTCAGAAAATTAATGATATTTTTAGAACTATTTATATCTTAATATAACATTAACATATCTTGTTGTATAATGAAAGCATTTGCAATATCATTTTACAGGTATTTATATAATGTTTTATCGAAAAATCAAACAGTATCTGAAAACAACAAAGGACTACTGGTTGAGACTTTAAGATCTATTGCTGAAATATTAATTTGGGGTGATCAAAATGATAGTGGTGTTTTTGAGTGAGTTTAAATTAAAGAAAGCTTAGCTTTTTTAACAACTTTGTGTACAAAATAATCTAAAATTTAATAATATATAATAAGGTTTGTTTTAATATAATGTCTTTTTTATTCTGTAGCTTTTTTTTAGAAAAGAATATGCTATCATTCTTTCTCCGGATTATGAAACAGAAATGTGGGAGTTATGTATGTGTTCAATTATTACAAACTTTAAACATTTTATTTGAAAATATTCGTAATGAGACTTCTTTATGTAAGTATATTGACTTTAAATTCAATATAAAAATAATTAAAAAAATGGATTTTGATTAAATATTCAATTTTTAGATTATTTGTTAAGTAACAATCATGTGAACAGTATAATCGTACACAAATTTGACTTTAGTGATGAAGAAGTGATGGCTTATTATATAAGTTTTCTGAAAACATTGAGTTTAAAATTGAATGCTCACACAATTCATTTTTTTTATAATGAGGTAAACCAGGTATATTGTGATAGGTGTTTTATTCCTATTTTCATGTGTCATTTCTTTCATATATGCATGCTTTTGACCATTCCAATTAAAAAAATGTAACGTAATTTTGGTTTTTATAAATCAGCTCATTCTCCAGTTTTCATTTGTTGCATTTATAGTATGCATTAATATTCTTTGAATATTCAATGTAAATGAATTATTTAAATTTTGAATATTAAGTATTGAAATATTAAATTAACAATTCTAAAATCTTTAATATTACAATAAAATTAAGACTGATTAAATTATTTTTAAATAATTATAATAAGTCAATGACAAAAATTTATTATTGTGATTATTCATTTCATGATTCTTTACGTCAAAGAGCTGCATATATTTTATTGAAATATTACAAACTTAATGAGAAAAATTGTTTTCTGTTTCTAGCATACAAATGATTTTCCCTTGTATACTGAAGCTATTAAATTCTTCAACCATTCAGAAGGTATGGTACGCATTGCTGTAAGAACACTCACATTAAACGTCTATAGAGTGGAAGATGCATCAATGCTCAGATTTATTAGAGACAGGACTGCTGCACCTTATTTTAGTAATCTAGTTTGGTTCATTGGAAATCACATAATTGAACTAGACACTTGTGTTAGAAATGATGCAGAGTGAGTAATACCTTTTTAAATTGAAGATTTATTGCAGAATAACAATAACAAAGTTATTTTTATCACAGTCATCAGAGTCAAAATAGATTAGCAGATTTGGTAGCAGAGCACTTGGATCATTTACATTATTTAAATGATATACTCTGCCTTAATATTGATGATTTGAATAAGGTGTTGTCTGAACATTTGTTGCATAAATTGCTAGTTCCTCTTTATGTATATTCTCTGACAAGACGAAAAAACGTATTGTGCCAAAGCCAAGTAAGTTTGTATTTTCAGCTTGAAGTTTCATATGTGTAATTACTTGTTTTTTTTTTAAATCAAAATAGTACTATATACAGTCATCGTTAGTTTAATTACATTAAAAGAGATCTTAACTAACATACTATCTGAGCATATATATCTTTCTTGAAACTATGTTTCTACAAAAAGCTCATGTTTAATTGCAGAAAAATGTTTATTTTTCAGGAAGAAAGAAAATATGTGAGTACAGTAGTAGCACTTTTTTTACTGTCTCAAGTATTTTTAATTATTTCGCATGGACCATTAGTGAGAACTCTTGCAACTGTGATTCTTAAGTCAAATTTAGACATTATCAAAAATGGTGCTAGTAAAATTTTAGAGGAATATGAAAATATGATAGTTAGTGAAACGATCGCTTTTTTGCCACCACAAGAGACTCTTGAAAAATCATTAGAAAATTTAAATGATACACAAAGTGATTCATCAAAATTGGAAAATGTCGAAGAGTTGAATGAAGATGAAGAAATGGAAGAAAATAAAAAATCAGAATCAGATAATCAATTTGTAGATCAGAAAATTTCAGAGAAACAAAAAGAAAATAGTCAAGAACAAATGAAATTACAGGAAGCGAGTACCTCTCAGGAAGCTGAAACTATTTCTATAATAAGTGAACGCGATAAATCAGAAGTCAATAATGAAAATATAGAAGATATCAAGTATTTGAGTGTAACAGATGAGGAAAAAGAGCAAAGATTGGCACTTGAAAGTCCATTAAATTCAGAATCAATAGAAATGGCAACTGACCAAGATTTTTTATCAAATAAACCCTTTCTTGAAACAATATTGAGTTCTTTGTATTGTACAGAGAATGATTACGCTGCTCTGTTTGCATTATGTCTTCTTTATGCTCTCATCAATAACACAGTAAATAAAAATCGTTATAATAATAATTTATTCGATTTTCGGCAAAAAAGTCTATTCAGCCACACATATAACATATAGTTCACTATAAAGCTATGCCAAACGTTATTTGCTAATTGACATTAACTCCTAAGGCTAAAATTTATATCTTATTCCAGGGAGTGCATCCAGAAACAATAGGCCTGTTATTAGCGCCTTTAAAAACAAGTTTCCGCAACCGATATCACGAAATTTTTATTGCCAGAATTGTCCATATTATAACCCTTAGTTGCCAAACCAGTAAGGAAGATATAATAAATTATTTTTATGTCTTAAAATATTATCAACGATATATAATTATAATTAATTTGTATTCTGTTGATTTAGATGCCAAAGTGAGGCTTGTGACTTTGGAATTAGCAACTAAATTATTAATACAGTTAGTAATGAATGAAAGTGAACATTTATTACAAGATTGCCACTATGCAGCTATTGAATCAGCAAAAGAACAAAGTACTGCACTTCTTCGAAATTTTTATAAGGTCAAAAAATGGAAAATTGGGATTGCTAGATTTTTAAATGCATGTTGCATGATATAATTTTTGCTTTTGCCTACAAGTAAATTAAAAAACTGTAACTAATACTCTTTCGATCTTTTACAGAGTGAGGATATTTTTCTAGATATGTTTGAAGACGAGTATAGCGAAATTCAGAAGAAACCATTAAAAGTTGAGTGGCTGATGATGGATAGCAATATTTTGTTACCACCTACTGGGACCCCGATGACCGGCATAGAGTTCAGTAAAAGATTGCCTTGTGGAGAAGTAATAATAATACGTCATTTTTGCTACAATCAAACTTGAGTTTTTTTTATGGCGATTTAAATTTGGTTATTTTATGAAAATAAAGGTCGAGCGGGCTCGCCGAGCGATCAGAGTATTCTTTATAATCCGAGAACTATCGTTAACACTGAATAACGAAGTTGAAACGCACTTGCCCCTGACGAATCCTGGCAGCTGTGTTCAAGTTAATAACGTTCTTGACTTGAGTAAATATTACAAGTTGCATTAATTGTAAATAACGATACACTATTATGGAACTAACTTAAGTAATGTATTTTTCTTAGATAACAGCGATCTCATTGCATGTACAGTTGTCTATAAAGATGGCCAAAAAATACGCAGATTTCTTGTAATTGATTCGATACAATTGATTCTCGTCGAGCCAGATACGCGAAAACTTGGCTGGGGAGTCGCCAAATTTGTAGGTTTTCTTCAAGATATCGAGGTAACCGGTGATAAAGACGATTCTCGCTGTCTACACATTACAGTTCACAAACCTCTAAATAGTAGTGCAAGCAATCGCGTACCACTACTCTCAGCAAAATTCATATTTGATGATCATATCCGTTGCATGGCTGCAAAACAGAGGTAAAATATACGCTTCATTTTGCAAATAAAGATATGATGTACTTCAACCGGATTTTTTGAATTCATGTAGGTTGACTAAAGGAAGAATCAAAGCACGACAAAAAAAGATGAATCAAATAGCAAGGCTTCTTGACATTCCTACTATTGCTGCACACTGCTCGACACCTCCAAATTATGCGTTGATTGGCCTACGTAACGATCGTAAGCGTACTACTTATTAACTTTTAATTATCGTGTTACTCATGATATTCACGTTATTCGTGAATTTCGTTTGTTATCTTTCTTATTTTTTCGTTATATTTTGATGCTTCTAATTTCTCTTGTTGGAGCGCTTTTTCACATTTGTATGAAATTATGATTTCTTTATAAAAACTTGTATACGAGTGTTGACTCAAATCGATTTTTAAATATTAAATATCAGGTCTCAAGTTTGGTTGTATTTTGAATGTTCGAAGGAACAGCGGCTCGTGGACAGAGGCTAAAAGATCAACAGCAGCAGCAGCAACAGCAGCAGCGACTGTTCCAGGTAAACAAGGTACCTGGCTTCGCAACGCAAATGCGTCGGGAGAGTCTGAGTCGAGTCGCAGTGGGGGCGGTGGTAGCTGCCTCCAGGCGCACGGACAGTAGCCCCAGCGGACCACATACCCGCGACAACTCGCCCAAGCTACCGCGGCCCCGCAGCGAGGAAATTCCATTGGAGGACATGCGACAACGCAAGACCTCACTCACCTCCAATTCGTCTTTGGAGCAGGCCAGTGCCGTGACCGTCTGTGCCACTACTGTTGGGCTGACCTCCTGTCCGCCCTCGGCCTCCGCGTGCAATAGCGCGGAGGCAAGCAAGCGCTCCGAGGAGACTTCTTTCACCGAAAGATCCCACAGTACTGCTCGTGAAAGCCGCCCTAGAAGGAAGGGCCAAGTCGAGACTGTATGACTGAGTTGCTGGTTTTTCCTCGGTCTGCTCGTTTTTTCGTGCGAATATCTACCGCGTATTAGATTTCGCGCTACTGGTAGTTTTACCTTCCTTTCTTTTATCTACACCTTGCAGCTCACATTGGAAGCTAGACAAACATTTTTTTTTCAGTTGCAACATTTTTATTAACTGAGTTTAGCATTACTAGGTTACTAATAAAGAGTTAAAAAAACCGAAGGTAAGGGTTATCGATATTCAGCCTCATTAGAAAATCTGTTTATTCAAATAATAAGAGCTATAATTTGAGATAAACATGAATCATAATTAAGACGCAATTAATTTTTATCCAATTCGTATCTGCTTTTCTTTAACAGAAATATAAGCATCGCTTGATAGTTACTGTATATTTTTTGATAAGAATAATATAATACAGAAAAAACGAATTTAATTTAACGATTTATTTATTACAAATGACTGATAACGTATATTAATCGAAAATTTTACTTATTACTTATTTATAAACTCTTATTTACAAATGTTTAGCTGTTTATCTTTAAACAAAAATTCTTCAAAACGATTCCCTGGATTTTGAAATGAGTCTTATGTGGGCATTCATTAATCTAATTTAAATATTTTTTTGGAATTTTGTAAATTATTCAAAACATTAGTTCGTTAGTTAGAAAATTATTTTTATCATGCATGTTATTTGTTTGTTTGTACCCCAACTCACAAATTTTACCGTGTTTGTGTACAAAACAGAGGGTAAACTCAATGTTGACATAAGTTATAGTACCATTTATAGTTCTTGTTAACTTCGCGATTGATTATAAAGTAGAAATTTTTTAAAAATTGAAAAAATGCAATTTTTAAAATGCTTTCAACAATCAAATTTTGAGTTTTATAGTCCGAAAATTTATACAAATATTTTAAGGATTCAGTAGAATATTTTAGTAAAAAAATTGACAAAACAATTTGACTTCGAGTTAGCGTGAAATTACGCATATGTTATATATTCACAGATTTTATAAATATAAACAGCTCAAATTAATTATATTAATATTGATTAATTATTATTACGGGATAATGTATATATTGTGAAAATATGAAAAGTAATACATTAATATTATAATTAATAACAAATCATAATTAAGAAACATAATTTGATTTTGATTTTTCAAAACAATATTATAAAAACTTATCCTCATTTTGAAGTAAATAGCAATATTTATTGAAAATTATCAATAATAAAAGTTCATAAAAATATCAAAGTCGAAAAATAAAAATTTCTTTTTCGATCATTCACTACTACTTACACATTACAATATACATTAATCAACTGACTCCTATTCACGTTATTATTAATTATTATTTATTCATTAATAATAAACATAAACAATTTCAATCATACTTATTTTATTTAGTTAACTATTGGAAAATTCAAATCCAAACATTTATGTTGTCAAAAACCATATTCTAAATCGATTTATTTCTTTTTTGTTAGATGATCCAGATTAAATGCAAGTATCTTGTAACTAATATTACTTTTGAATGAATATACAATATTTTATTTTGATTTCTTGACTTTATATCTCTTTAAATACTTTTGTCCAATTTGAACTATGAATGTATTTCTCCACGAGTAGATTTGAATTAGAATCTGTCAATTTAATAGGTATAAGAAGTCATTACTAGAACCTCGATCCACAGGGTTTATAGAAAAAATGTGATTTAGAGGATTTAAATCACGTATATTGATTGGTCCTAAAAATGATTCGACATTCAGCGTAAATGTATTTTTCCGACTCGCAAAATTTAAATGTACATTCTTTACATCACTGCATAATTCCTTTGCAATTCAAACTACAATTGCACAATAGCTCTCAGCAAATTAAAAACAAAGTGATATATTGCAATATAGTACACATATTACTCAAAGCATAACAGAATAATCACAATCCTCAGAATATATCTATTATATTGTATAACCATATCTACCTATCTATTTCAGACTACCTTATCTAAACTTGACTCTACTACCTTTTACTCTTCTTCGAATCGTCTGCCAAGTCAGAAAACAAGCACGCTTGCGTACAATTTTAAATAAATTAAAGGTTCATAGGAGAAGGGTTAATGGCTTATGCTATAGGCAAACTCATGACCGAGAAAACTATTCAAGCGGATTTGAAAGTACTGGTATTATGTGTGACATACGTTGTATGTTATGTAAGAGTATACGTAAAAACAGTATCATTGATTATAGACGCTTCATATTCACATCATGCTATCTTTGAGTACTCGATTAATATCATTCTATCAACGGAAACATAATTGCTATCATTTTATAATTTTTTATACAAAAAACTACAAAATACTAAAATTTTCTTACAATTCAATACAAAGATATCTTTGCAGTCAGACTTATATGATGATATCTTTTAAATTTGTGCAATACAAATAGTTAATTCATGGTACGCTTGAGAAAAATAAAAGTTTCAAGCAGCTCATTAGTCAGCAATACAATCTCCATTGAATTAATTTTATAAACTATATGATTTTGAAATTTTCTACATAACTGACTAAATTTATTATATCTTATAAATCCAATAATACGTATTTTTAAAAATATATGATTATTTTAGGAGTTGGTCGTGAGAATCAAGAGCTTAGCGATGACAGTGAAACTCAATCTGACAGCACTAATCTGATCAGTTCCTCGACGGATTACTCTGATACGGAATATGAAAATAGCGGTGATAAGAAATTGATTTAAAATGGTGACGACACTCTATATCCTGGAGCACTTTTAATAATAGTAGAAAGTATTTTGTCAATTTTTTCGCTTACGACACGATTTGAAATCACAGGAGCTTTAATGACAGCTATTCTGGAGATAATAGAGGCGCATTTCATTCGACCGAATTATTGCGTCAAAACTATTTATAAATTAAAACAGTTTTTTGCGAATATTTCATGTTCTTTAGTTAAACATTTTTATTGAACAAGATGTTTAGAAAAAATAGAAAATGAATGCAACAACTGCCTCGGTATTGAAAATCCAAAAATAGATTACTTTTTAGAAATACAGATAACAACGCAATTAGAATCATTTCTAAAGCGCAAAAACTTGAAACAAAATTTAAATTACCAATTCACACGAGTAAAACAACATGTGAATAATTATGAAATAATAATTATGAAATAATATATATGATGGATCAACTTATCAATCATTATCGTGAGAGTACACAGATAATCCAAATAATATTACTTTTACGTGGAATCCAGATGGAGTGCCTATTTTTAATTCTTCAAAATATAGTATATGGCCGTTATATTTAGTTACTAATGAATTGCCATACCACTTGAGAATAAAAAAAGAAAATGATTTTCTGGCTAGTTTATGGTTCAGTGATAAAAAACCATCACCAAATTTATTCTTGCCTGTGTTTGAAAATGACCATGCCAAGCTTTACAGGGGGAAATATTTCAAAATCCATAATGAATAAAATCTTATCAAAATTCGAGAAATGATACTTACCGGAACTTGTGACTTACAAGCCAAAGCTAGATTTTTAAACTTGTTCCAATATAACGGGAGATACGGATGCAATAACTGCGGAATACAAACGGTTAGAGTTGACAATGTACAAACGTATCCATTTGTTGAAAATTTAGACATTTTAGAGAGAACTGTGGAACAAACAAAAGAATATACTGCGCAAGCTCTTGACACAGATGTACCTGTTAATGGTGTAAAAGGGCCTACTGCATTAAACTTACTAGTACCTAACTATATAGAATCAACGGCTATTGATGAAATGTATAATACGTATCAAGGGGTTGTAACAAATTTAATGAAATTTTTTTTTTTGACATCGATTATAATATTCATCCTGTATCTTTAATTCATTTCGCCAATATTATTGATCGACAAATAAAACAGTTGACTCTTCCATCATTTATTCAACGATTGCCTCGCAGTGTATTGGATTACGCTTTCTGGAAGGCCTCGGAATTAAAATCATTTCTATTAGTGTATAGTTTACTTATACTTCAAGATTTTATGAATGAGGATTACTTTCAGCACCACATCTTGCTTGTGTACGGAATGACTATAATGAATTTAGAGAGCATCAACAGTCAGATGCTCATAGATGCTCAAGAGGCGTTAGACGATTATGTCAGGCAATTCGAGTATTTATACAGCGATAGATATCATACATGCAACTTGGATCTTATTTGTCATCTTTCTCAAGTCAGAAAATTCGTCCACCTTTTCTTTACTTCTATTTTTCCTTTTGAAAACTATAATGGTATTTTGAAAAACTATATCCATAGATCGAAAAAACCGGAATTACAAGTTGTTTCTACAGTATGGACTTTTCTTAATATGTTGCAGCTCTTTTATTATGTTTAACTCGCAAAACTGCAAGTATGTTTAGTGATAGAGGAGGTCGTGATAAAGGACATTTTGGAAATGTAACATCTTCTAATTCTGAACGAATCAACTCAAGTGAAAAAGGAGTAAGATATTAGCAAGTGGTTTTGTTTTTCTGAATGATAATCTTGATGATTATCTATCTTAATAATGTCATTATAAATTGATTGATAGTAAATGATTACTTATTTGTCATTTTTTATATAAGGGATGTTACTGGATGCGAAGAAGCTAAAATTGAAATCATGGAGTTTGGTAATTTTCTGAAAAATCTTCAAGAATATTTCAACTTTGGAATCAAAATTGTCAAAGCATCATATGTATAATTTTTAAGGTCCCTCTGATACCTATAAAATTTTGTTAGCAAAAGCTACTGCCGGAGAAGCAGACGCGCCGTTACTAAAGGTGTCTGGTTCAGAATTTCTCGAAATATTTGTGGGTGTTGGAAATTCTCGTGTCAGAGAAATGTTTGGTACGTTAAAACTTTTTGTTTAAAATTATTTAAAAATATTAAATATAAAAATCTTTATTAATTAAAAATATTCAATCATATAAAATGATAAATTATTATAATTACATCAAACACCATCATCTGAAGTGTATTGGAGTAAGTGAATTTGTTTTTATCAATAATAGTTAAAAATAAAGTTCACTGCTTTCATCTAGTGTGTAATTACCATTGATAAATCATAGAAATGTATCACTGATAACAAATAACACTAATAACTATTCCCTCTGGAAAAAAAATAGCAGCTGTGTACACATTTACAGATGTGTGACAGTGTTTGTTAGTATCTACTTATAAGCCATTGCTTATATTCATATTTTTAAGAATATTATAAAGTTTTTATTAGATTTTCATAAATTTTTATTTTTACAGTGGTAGCATTTTCTTTGACACATTCAGACATAGTGAGAAATGAGGAATGGCTTCACATAAATTTTACAAGTACCTTACAACCTGTTGATACTGGAGAAGAAATTACAGATTTTGTGTGTTGCAAAATACAGTTGATTATAGCAAATAATACATCAAAAAGCAAGTTTGTTGATGATATGTTTTCTCAAAAATATGAATCATAATCAAATAACTTAATTTTAATACCAAGATTTATGCGTCTTCCTTCTCTATAGATAAAGATTCACAGTCTTTCAAAGGAATTTCATTCAAATTCCATCAGTATTCCAAAATACCCAAAGATGATAAGCTTGTAAATTATTATTCGTGCTGGTAACATAGTTTTTCTCTTTTGAATTTGTAAAAGGTTTGTTATCGAAATAGCTTTGTTTTATATAAATGTTATATTTTACAGTTATTGGAAGAAAAAAATACCAAAGCAAGGATAGTTGTATTTATTTGTAAATCATATGTTTTTTATGCTTATATTCTGTCAAAGAAAACGAAATTAGTTATTAGATGGGAAGATATCTTAGAGTTGGAAAAAACAATTTCCTTTGTATTACCTGACAATATTCGTATAGTTATGCGTAATAATAAAGAGGTATGTAAATTACATATTGCTCTATAAAAGTTTTAAATTATCATGCAAAATTTTACTTTTTTAATTTTCAGCATTATTTTTCAATATTTCTTCACAAATCTGAAATGTACTCATTGATGGAGCAGTTGACGAATCTCGCGATGAAATGGTACATTCGTTACATTCATAATTCTTAATTATAAAGTAAATTAAATTTGTTTAATAGTAATGCAAATTAAAATTGTTTTAGACTCGTAGATAATATAAAGTGGTTTCAATGAAGATAGAGATTTTCTTAAAAATTGAGGTAAAAGTTATAAAAATAATTTGCATTAAATGTAGATTTATTACTAATGTACATAATTATGTTATTTACAGTAAGACTGTGCCTAGAAAACTTTCGTTTTTTCAACGAGATCTCGATGCAAAACTCCTCATTGCGGGTATACCACAAAATCTTCGTGGAAAAGTTTGGCTGACATTTTTCCGGTAAATATTCAATTTTTTCGAAAGAACAGTAGAAAATATTATTTTAAATTTATTTATTATGAGAGAGAGAAAAAAATTCAACTTTTCTATTTTTAGGACTTAAATGAGATGGTAATAAATACTGGATTATATAAGTCACTTGTCGATCAATCGATAGGAAAATCGTATCAAGCTAATGAAGAAATCGAAAGAGATCTACATCGATCTTTACGGGAACATCCAGCTTTTTAATCGGAAACTGAAATTAGTTAGTATGATTGTCATTGTTATCGTCAGCAGTATGTTTTGACACTTCAGCATTTGGTTCAGACCTGTGATATGTAAATTAAAATTGATTATACATCATTTTGTAGACGTTGCTCAAGTAGCCGCTGAAACAACGGATGAAGCAAAATTTTTCAGAAGTACTAATTAGTCTGGCGGAAGAACTTATCAATACTCCATCTCGGTTAACAAGCATAAACATCCACGCAGGTAATCAGTCTTGTGAGGAACCAAGCATGGGTAGCTCGTACTTGATATTTTATAACTATTTAGTATCATTTATCATTGACTATTTTGTAATGACTGGCATTTTCTGAATTTCGTTGAAATGATTAGGAGTATAATTATTCAATGTAATTTGGTACATTCTGAACATCAATTTCTCTTTTATAAGTCAATTCAATTTTATTTTTTGCGTTAAATTAATTTTTGTTCATCATATCAATATTTGAATTGTGCAAGTATGATACACTCAAAGTGTTTTGTAGGATTATTTTCTTTATATTCTTGTATTTGTAAAAATAATTGTTACAGTGACGAAAATATTCTTTTCTATTTGTAATAAACTGTGTTGATAATTAATTCTGATATAAATTTATTTATTGGCCATTATTCTATAAGTTTTAATAAAAATTATTATTTTTATTTTAGTTTTCTTTTCAACAAAATTTGTTGAAAAATACATAAAGAACATTTTACAGAAAAAATAGTAAGCCAATAATTTTTCCCGAAAATTACTACAGATATTCAACTAACTTCTTTCAGTTAGAAAAGGTATTATCTAAAAGGTTAGATAAATGTTTTGATCTTCTAAATTTTGAATTGAGAATTTTCTTATTTTCCCTCTTTTAAAAAAAACGAATTTGAAATACGGAATTCGGACACGTATGATGATAGAACAGCCACAAGTAACAAGTGTACAGCAGACAGCTGTCGTGGAGGCGTGGCTAATGGCTATCCGCATGTGCGCCCCACCGCCATCTAGTGAATTAAAATTGAAACTGAAACGATATGCGCGCCAGTGCCAGAACGTGTCTATGCACGCGCCAGTATCAGTGCAACTGTAGTACGAGGTAGATGGTTCATCGCTGCGTGACATGATTCAATTATTCAATTTATTATTTCAATACGTTAAGTACTACATCAAAATGATAGTGGTGTAAATCTATTGATTTTTTATAATGTCACTCTTCAACATCATTCAATCTGTAAGTACTTTTAAATATTACATCCTGCTCGATTAGAGGTTACACAAAGGTTTTATGCCTCGTTATTCGAATCTCTCCCCCCCCCTTCTTGATGTTTCTTTATTTGCCGGCATTTTCAATTTCGAATATATTAAATGGTTAAAGATATAGCTACCAAACCATTCATACCAAAATTGCAACTGCCATCTGTCAAGGACCTGTTAACAAATCCAAGTGTGAATTTCAATTGGCGCGGTCAATCGCGATACGGTTGCACATTACATCGGCTATTCACGGCAAATATAAAAATGGCTACAGGCAACGGGTAAGTCTAAAGGACGTAAAGTTCGGTATTACTATCATAATCCGTAACAATCAATTCTCTTAATTTTCAGCGCGAGGAAATATCCCCTCCTACCAACTAAAGGAGATTATGTCGCCGCTTAACGATAACAGCGACGCTGCTCAGGCGGAAACTTCGTCGGCCGCCATGACACAGCAATCGCATAAGGATGTTTCAGACGATATTCCACCTCCTTCGTCCCCCGTTGAAGTACTTGCTGAGCTATAGGTGATATGGAAAATTGATGAAGATAAGTAAATATAAAAGCATTTTGGCGGAAATTCGTATTTATTGATAAACACTAAATTGCTCTATACCTGGGTCAGCCTAAGGTCGGTCATCGTAAGTCGAAGTAAACAGGGGGAAAAAAGGGGTAAAGTGCTAATGGCATCCGGTTATCGCGTCCTTAACGTAATTCGGTTTTCTCCTTGTTCGGTGCAAAAAAGATATTCGCGGCGGTCTATCTTGTCTGCGTTCCCCTAAAGGTTCGCAGGTGGCGCAACGAGACGCGACCGCGATCTGTTTTCGTGGCGATCGTGCGAAGGTAAGGTTAATGTGCGGACGATTTCGAGGATTACATAAAGGTCTGGCGGCACTCATTAACGCGCGGGTAATTCGATGATTGCGCGACGGTTATGCGGCATTCCGTTGATGTGCAAGTACCTACGATCGCGCGAAGGTCATGCAGCATTCCAATAAACACGCGGATATCTACGATTGCACGAAGATCAGGCAAGAATTTAATAAACGCGCGAGTAATTCGGCGATCGCGCGAAGGTCAAGCGTCACTCCCGTTAATGCGCGAGAATCTGAACGATCACACAAAAATCAGGCGATAATCTAACGAGCGCGCGAGTAATTCGGCGATCGCGCGAAGGTCAGGCGTCACTCCCGTTGATGCGCGAGAAGTTCAGCGATCGTGCGAAGGTCAGGCAGCACTCCCGAAAATTCGCGGTTTAATTAACGGTTACGAATTAGAAAGAAAACATTTGAGATTGCGATCTCTATGAAGCCAACGACGGTGGACGGTGCAGTGCCCATTGCCAAGGCGTTACCGAGGCCCATCTTCTGGTAATTGTAGAATTTTTCGACGGGCGGAACTACCTTTTGCTCGTAGAAGAGCGCACCACCATATTTACATAATCTATGTATCAATTACGGCTGCCTCTCTAGAGTGAGCGATTATGTCATTTTAGCTGCAGTACTGAAAATTTGAAACTATTATTATATAAAAGTGACCGGATTTCCCGTCAAATCACCCGAACTACTTACAATTTTGATAATGACATCTTCAATCGTGCTTTGCTGCAGTTGTCGGCAATTTTTGCTGATTCAAAGAAGGTTCTAACCTTGACGATGAGCTTGTCCTTGACCTTGATGGCGACGATGACCTCGGCTCTCGTTCTTCAACCCCTTTCTGATATTTTCTGTTAGGCGGCACTCCCGAAAATTCGCGGTTTAGTTAATAGTTACGAATTAGAAAGAAACGTGAGAGAGAGAGGAGTACTCGCTCTTTTCCCTTGGAATGATACTTCGGCTGCGACGGGGGAGAGGGAAGGGAAAAATAAATGACGATTATTCTTCCGGTCTCGCACTGTCGCCAGCGGCGCAGGGAGCCGAACGTACAGCTTTATTTTATTTGTTGGGCGCCAGCTACCGGGCTCTCGCATTAGGAGAGCAGGCAGCTCTGCAACGTTAGTTGGTTCGGCTCGTCGGTGGTCCTGCCGGTCACTGTGATGGTCGGGTGGTTTCCCCGCTGCTTCCTTCCTCGTCGTCGTCGGTCTTGCGCGGGCTATCACCTGTAGGAGATGAGAGGGGGAGCGCGAAGTCCTAAACTGAGATCGTTCGGATTCGAAACAGGGAAACTCGTTGAACGAAGGAGAGAAGGGACAACGGGTGGTTTTTACAGGCCACCCACGGCTGCGGCTCGTTCGGCTAGTCAGGTGTGGTTCGGGGCACGCTGACTCTCGGCTTAGAAACGGGTATATCGAGGGAGGCGTCACAGGGGCACCTCGACTAACGGATTAGTGGTCTGGAAAGAGGCTCCTTTCGATCCTTAGTAGGCTGACAACGCGGTTCCGCGACAAAGGCTGCCTAATGAAATGGCGATAAGATCAACCGCGTACGCGCTCACTAGTTTCAAACCGACCGCGAAAGCTACGGGGGATGGGGCAATCGAATGGGTGTAGTCAATCATAAAATCAATTTAAATACGATTCAGATTTATTAGGCCAACAGTCCCAGGTCAGCCCAGTAGTCAACCCTTCGCGATGGTCAGCCTGATCTAAATTAACGGGGGCGCGGGTGGCGTACTGCGACGCGAAGCTGCTTTAGGCAGACAATAACTCGGATGAATAGTCTCGGATTTCGGACACAGTTACGCGATGTCAGGGTGTTTACTCGCGGCGAAAATTCCAGTTCACTCGAGGTGAATACGCATAAGAATTCGGTCGGTCGCACGAAGGTTTATCACTGCTCGCAATGTTGTTAGCACTTCGTAGCGATGATCGCGTAACGGAACAAAGACAACGGTGTATACCCGAAACCTTGTTGGTCAAACGAAGGTCTGGCGCGACTCGCGTAATGTTTTCAACCGGCTTCGGAGAAGGAATTTATAGACGCGCGCCTTTAGAACTCGTTTCTCGGATCTCAGACAGTATAACGGCGCACAAGACAATGCTCGGAAGGTCGGTGGCGAGAACACGCATAACAACGAAGACAGGGCGCGCGAAGGTCATACGACACTCCCGCGTCGCGGATGTTCGTCAATCACGCGACTCGACGGAAAGCTCGCCTCAAATCAACGGCTCATTTAAGTTAAGCGAAGATTTTGCGGCATACAGGCGTGCGCGTGAAAACTTGTCTCTCCGCGGCGGACAACGGTGCGACAACAAAAGGTCAGCCGGGAGGCTGACGATGAGAACACGTATAAAGAAATCGATCTGACGCGCGAAGGTCATAAGGCACTCCCGAGTATCTAGCATTCGATTAATCGCGCAGAGGTCAAGCGGCACTCCCAAGGATGTGGACGGACAACACGCGGTCTATTAGAAAGAAAGATGTACTCACTCGGTCGTCTCCCTAGGACAATCGCGATTACGAACTGCTGAGGTGGTCGTTCGTGGCCGGCGGGCCTGTTGCTGCGCTGTTATTGCTGCGGGTTTTGTTGCTGCTGTTCTGCTACACTGCCTCCCTATCGCTGATTCTATTACTACTTCTCTATCTGCTTTCTATCTACTTTTCTATCTGCTTCCTGCTTCACTATTCTGCTTCTGCTTCACTATTCTGCTTCTGCTTCACTATTCTGCTTCTGCTTCACTATTCTGCTTCTGCTTCACTATTCTACTTCTCTGCTTCACTATTTTGCTTCTGCTTCATTATGTACTCGGTTACTTGCGCGGAAATTCCCTTTTGCCGGCTCCAGGGCTCAACGGCGCACTGGTCGGCACCGGAGTTCAGCGGGTACTGGCGCGCCGTTTTTCGGCGACGCGCCGCTTCTCATCTAGCTCACCTCCCCTTAGTCATTTGTTGATTGGCTGGCTTGTTGCTAAGCCGGGTCTCAGCGCCGTCTATACTGATCTTTTTAGCCCGTGTAATTTGTTCATTGGTCGGGTTTTGGCGCCTAATTTGCCTACTGGTCGCGGAGATAGCGTCGGTTTCGTCTCATTAGCCTAGCTACCCCTGAGCCGATAACGATTGGCTGGTCAGTTAGCGTCGCTTGCCTATCCTTTTCTATCTATTGCTCGTTGGTCTTGTCGATTCCCCTCACTCGCGTCCGATCGGTCTAGTATCGGCGGTCTCGCTCGCTCTCACGCGCTCGGTTGCCCCTACTTTAGTCTGGCTAAGTCTGCCTCAGTTAACGGGGGCTTGCGATCAGCTGATCGCAGCTGGAAACTTTAAAGGCTTCCAGCTTCCCGAGGGAGCGTCGGATCGGGTCGTGAGTGCGCGAGGGGTTGTACGCG